TATATATACATATAATCTATCTAATCTATAGCTTGCCGATGGCCTAAAAGAAATCCAGTGTTCAGATGTTTTACTCTACCAAGTTGGTCACCGAAATACAATGATGTCAAGTCGATCAATTGCGAACACGACACACAACACTGAAAAAATGATGAGGATATCGGGCTTATCGGAATGCACCGAATACGCAGTTGACTTAAGAGTCCTCAATGACAAAGAATTTAAAAGTCCATGGAGCGAAGCTATTAACATCACAACGTTACCATCAGGTATCCAATGAATAATACTATCATCAAACCTACATTATGTTTTATTGATTTTGCTATTTTGAATTATATTTGGGACAATATATTTTACAAGAAACAAAACAAACCAAAACAGTTTAATGACAAAGATTGAAAACATGAAATGGTCAATTTGGAACATTCTAAGTACCAAATGTAGCATCAAAACTAATAATGATAATAATATAATAATAATACAAAATAATTAACAATGTATAAATTAAATCTACAGTGCCAATTTTTGTATCTACAAATTCGACAATTTTGGAAACGTCATTTACAATGAAGTGGCACACTCTTGCATCATGTAACAGTGGAACCGACCTTTTATATCACTATCGCCTCAATTACGTGAAAAGCAATGACGAGTATAGAAGTGGGAACACATCAGATACAGAAGTAGAAATCACAATCAGTGATGATGTTGAGCCATGTACAGAATTTAGTTTTCACGTTTCAGTCTCATTTATGGAAGTAATAGGACAAGCAAGTTCCATAAAACTTTCAACGGACGCCGAACGCAAGTTTCCATTTTGATCTTTTTCATATTAAAATACTTAATATTAATAATCAGCTGTTGTTGAATGCTATATGTGTATTAGACCAACCAACGCTTTTTTTCATACAGCTATTTACACTTCAATACAGTATATATTATGCTTACCTTTTCCAGTTCCGGGAGTTCCAGAGATGATATCAGCAGAATATTCTGGTGGTAGTATTAATGTTGAATGGCATCCTCCTGTAAACCTGTCTCTTATACACATCTAGATGGGTATAAGAGACAGATATATACAGTCCGCCCTCTAATTCGAGACCACTCTGTGTATCTGAAATTTGGGGTGTATGTATTTCAAAGAAACTGCATTTTTTTTTGCTTTTTAATTTTTTTTTACCAACTTGAAACTGTTAAAACACATTGAAAACAAAAATATGAACAGCATACTGTAAAGCTATGGTCGTGACACAAGTTTGAATCGTGAGTGAATTTTTTAAGGTCGTCGGATCGCATCTGGGTCTCAAAAAATTATACGGAAAATCTTAATTGTTAAAATTAAATGCTGTAAAAATTAGATGAATCCCGTGAAAACCTCGAACCCGCGGCCCTGGCGTGGAACAATACCAATTAGCTAAACGCTCAGCTCATTAAGTATGGTTATCAAATATTATATTGTTGTTACAAGACACTACAGTACTTCGATATAGAACCCTTATTAAGAGGACACCTTCGGCACCCCTCAATAGGAATACCCCTATTCTGAGAACAAAACTATAGAGTAACGACTCAAAGAAAGGGCGCATGTTATGATATAGATTAGAATATATGAAAAGTACACAAAATATAGAAATCCCTATGGGTAAAACTTGACAAGATTAGTTGGATATAGGCCTATGACGATGATTTATATTAAGGGTTCAGGAAAAAACATTCTGGTTTGATGTGAAGGTTTTTTTAGCTCATGTTCAATAGGTGTCAAAATATAAGTTAAAATATCTTTTTCTATTTCGAGACTGCTGTAGTTTTTGTGATACTGTAGAATGAAAACAAAAATTGAGTATACTCTAGGAGTTGAATATTTATTGGTTTGACCATTTGACACACCCAGAGAGTTTTCCTGTCCTATTATTAGGGGTGTCACTTAATAGGGGTTGGCCGTAGTGTTAAAAGATAAAACAATTCTATCATTTCACAGAAAAGTTTCCCCAGAATGGTGGGCGCCTCAAAGTATGGTTCTACCGTATTAATTTGGTTGTATATTTTGTATCTATGACAACTGGAGGTGTCGAATCGTGGGAAGCTGTGGCAAAAAAATGTTGAGTCCTAAATAGTAAAAGGTTGCCGGCCGTTAGCTGTCAAGAAAACATAACATAACTTTAGGTTTAGGTGTGTAAGTGTCCATCTTTTATATAAGAATTATGTCATTTTCTCTGTGTTACTTTGCCCTTATGTTTCCAATCTTCAATAAGAAATTCTCCAATGAATTTCAAAGTTCCTCATGGCCATGATGAAGTGAGGGAAAGCACTGAGCCCCGTAGCCAGACTCGTTGATGGGGGATGGGGGTGGGAGAAGTACCGAAGTGCCACGCCCACCCCTGCATGCCATTGCTGGAGCTAAATTTGAATGGCCCTTTCCCCCACCCACCCCTCCCCTCCTTGATAGATGTGTATAAGAGACAGCAAACACTCAGATGACATTCTTACAAATCTTTGGATGATACCATATGCCATTAGGTGTTCAATCTTGACTAGATTTTCCTAATATTTCAAGCAATAAATGTTTTGTTACTATAAAAATAATTTTGTTTTTAGTTTTAATTATTTACATATCTTTTATTTTATTAGGGGGAGACACACATTTAGCAGGGAAATTTCCCCCTGTACCCCTTCCCCTTGGCTACAGGCTGGGGGTTTGTGCAGCAATTGAGTGGCTAAAGAAGAAAATTTAAAAAAAAGGACTGTATCAAATTAGGGATGAGTAGCTGATTCAACAGCAGTTTTTGCCAAGAGGTGCCAACAGATAGTTGCGTATAATATTAATCAAGATGGGGTGGGGGAAGTACCGAAGTGCCACGCCCACCCCTGCATTTTATTACACAATTTCTTTATTCATTTATTTACAGGGCTACATTCGTTGAGAGCTATGCTACACGATGTATTATTATGTCATTTATTCGAACACTGTATTTAACTTTCTTTGATGATTTATATATAATTTAACAGTGTTAACGGCTATCTTGATTTTTATTATACGTAACTATTTGTGCCTAGCCGTACTTATTGTGTAATGGAGTGTATCTGGTGGTATTTGAATCTGTTCAACCATGAAGCCTGTCAGAGACATTTTATTACACAATTTCTTTATTCATTTATTTACAGGACTACATTCGTTGAGAGCTATGCTACACGATATATTATTATGTCCTTTATTCGAATACTGTATTTACTTTTTTTGATGATTTATATATAATTTAACAGTGTTAAAGGCTATCTTAGAGACAGTATATATACATATAATCTATCTAATCTATAGCTTGCCGATGGCCTAAAAGAAATCCAGTGTTCAGATGTTTTACTCTACCAAGTTGGTCACCGAAATACAATGATGTCAAGTCGATCAATTGCGAACACGACACACAACACTGAAAAAATGATGAGGATATCGGGCTTATCGGAATGCACCGAATACGCAGTTGACTTAAGAGTCCTCAATGACAAAGAATTTAAAAGTCCATGGAGCGAAGCTATTAACATCACAACGTTACCATCAGGTATCCAATGAATAATACTATCATCAAACCTACATTATGTTTTATTGATTTTGCTATTTTGAATTATATTTGGGACAATATATTTTACAAGAAACAAAACAAACCAAAACAGTTTAATGACAAAGATTGAAAACATGAAATGGTCAATTTGGAACATTCTAAGTACCAAATGTAGCATCAAAACTAATAATGATAATAATATAATAATAATACAAAATAATTAACAATGTATAAATTAAATCTACAGTGCCAATTTTTGTATCTACAAATTCGACAATTTTGGAAACGTCATTTACAATGAAGTGGCACACTCTTGCATCATGTAACAGTGGAACCGACCTTTTATATCACTATCGCCTCAATTACGTGAAAAGCAATGACGAGTATAGAAGTGGGAACACATCAGATACAGAAGTAGAAATCACAATCAGTGATGATGTTGAGCCATGTACAGAATTTAGTTTTCACGTTTCAGTCTCATTTATGGAAGTAATAGGACAAGCAAGTTCCATAAAACTTTCAACGGACGCCGAACGCAAGTTTCCATTTTGATCTTTTTCATATTAAAATACTTAATATTAATAATCAGCTGTTGTTGAATGCTATATGTGTATTAGACCAACCAACGCTTTTTTTCATACAGCTATTTACACTTCAATACAGTATATATTATGCTTACCTTTTCCAGTTCCGGGAGTTCCAGAGATGATATCAGCAGAATATTCTGGTGGTAGTATTAATGTTGAATGGCATCCTCCTGTAAACAATCAATGTCCAGTCAGCTACACTGTTATTTTAGTATCTGGTAATGTACAAATCTCCAAGGTTACAGAAGATACCCGAGTTACATTTACGGCTGAAGATGGAATATCTTCAGACAGGAACTACACTGTAAAGGTAAAATAATTTACACTTTTAAAGTAGGCTTAACACAATCAGTCATATATTCCTACAAATGGCTGATCTCATTATTGAGATCAACCTCTCTAGCTAGGAATGTGTACACATGACTTGTCATCTGCTCTATTATAATACTGTTCTCAATTTCAATAGTTTTCTATTCACTTTCTATGTAACATTTTACATTAACTTGGAGCTTATTTTTCCTGGATTACTATATGCCTAAGGATTTTTCTTATTTCTGATTGTGAATCCTCATTTGAACCACTTTAAGTGAGTATTTCGTAGTCTCTTATGATTCAACCAAGAGGTTGATTGAAGCAACATGTTCAGCCTTACAAGTCCTTCTGTGCCTGTGTAATTAGTGAATAAATAGTTTCCAACATGAACATCCTGCATAAAGAGCTAAGCCTATTGTTTCATTGTTTCAACAAACAATGAAAGCAATTCAAGAAAGAAGAAAGCCTCACATGTGCATGTAGTGATCATGATTTCATCTACACATATTTGACGTCAAAAACTTTTAAATCATTCAAGAATTTTAATGAGAAGCTTTTTATAATGATCTTAATCAACAGAAAAACTATCAAAATGTGGATGCTGCTCTTGATTTTTGGGCATCTACCTTTACTAAAGTTTGTGACATGTTTGCTCCTTACATAATTTGTAGATGATTCAAGACGTATCTGCCTAAATGGCTAACAAATAGACTTGACAGTTTTGATATGATACATCAAAGGGATACTTTGAAAGCTTTAAGCCTATAAATTAAAGAACGATGTGGTTTTTTTTGAACTTTTGAAAACTGAGGAAGGTAACAAAAATATATAGAGACGCTAAAGCTTATTATTACAGGTCTTACCGAAATAATAATACCGGTAACTCTAAAAAAAAATTTGGAATGACCTGAAAGATCTCTTTCCTTCTAAAAAGTATAATGTACTTCCTCCTTCTTTCTCTACTGTATTGATGGTACTGAATTTTCCGACTCTTTTAAGCACTTCTTCACAAATTATACTGTTTTCGTTTCTTCACTGATTGACTCTTCTAACTGCCCTGATCCTACTTCATATCTCAGTCCATGCTCATCTCACTTCTCAATTGAACCTGTTGACGAAGAATTTGTCCTGTCAGAGCAAAATTCTAGATCAATCCTACCACCTCTCCTGGCCTCCTTGATATCGATGGTTGTCTTCTTAAGGTCGCTGCCACTCTCATATAACCTCAACTTACATTCATCTGTATTCTGAACCTTTCAATCTAACTGTTGTCCCTCTGCTTGGAAAAAAAATCTAAAATAATCATTGCCTTTAAATCAGGCAAGGAAATGACCCCAACAACTCTGATCCTATTTCAATTCTTTCTACTACTAAAATCATCGAGAAATCTGTTTTTTCTCAAATCTATTCATACCTTAATTCTAATAATCTGATTTTTAATTCTCAATATGGTTTCAAAACCTCAATACTTGACTAAAATTGCACTTACCAGCACCTCTAATAACTGGCTTCATAATTAATTTCTGTAAATTGAAAATAATATGATTTATAATGGTTTTTCTTCTTTCATATGTATATTATATATATAATTATTTATTTGATTAGGGCTAATTTATTCTAAACTTACAGTATTTATTTCTTTCTCTGTTGTTTTACTGATTGTTTGGCCTATTTAAATTGTTTTTTTGATCCTGCTTGATTAATTTTCATCTTTAATTGTAATTTCGTTGTTGATTTTTTTAAATAATTTTTATTCAGTCTTATATATAATGCTGAATTATTAATTTTGTAAATTAAGAATAGTTGTTACTTGTAACTTTTTCCTCATCTGTATGTTTTTTATTTTTTATTTTTTATTTTTTGTTTGATTATTTCAATATGGCTACTTAGAGTAGTTTATTTAGTGTATATTACTATTAATTAATTAGTTATATACTCTCTTTTGTTTTGTTTTACTATGTGTATTGAGGGTACCTAATAATCAGCTTCTGCTGGATGGACCACCCTCATTAAATGTTGTTGAAATAAATAGAATAAAATAACAAAACGAAACAATACATACTTCTTCGTATGAACACTGTTTCTACCTTTTACCGATTTAATTAATCTCGTCTCAATAGGATTTAACATCTGTCAAAAGGTTAGTTTTATACTCTCTTTTGTTTTGTTTTACTATGTGTATTGAGCGTCCCTAATGATCAGCTTCTGCTGGATGGACCACTCTCATTAAAGGTTGTTGAAATAAATAAAATAAAATAAAATAACGAAACGATACAATACATTCTTCTTCTTATGGACACTGATTCTACATTTTAATGATTTAATCAATTTCATATCAATGGGATTTAACATCTGTCAACAGGTTGTTACTCATGGCCATACGATACATTATCATATCAACAAAGATTTCTATTAGAGAGAATTTGAAAACCGGAAGGTCCACTGATTAATCTCAGAGAGATAGTATAATACATACTCCCAAGTGTCGAAATGCACAATGGCGTGCAATTCGATACTTGGAGTATGTATTATACTAACTTCTCAGAGAAATTAATATTATTCATTTTCAACTTTTCAACTTAATAATTTAAACCAATGATATATCATGGAATTGAAAGATAAGCGTCCTAACTATGAAGCCATACAGCTCTACTCCCCATCACATTGCCATAAGAATGCAGGCATCTTAACTACACATATGCAGCTGTACTCCAACAGTATAATGTAAGCGCAATATGTTTTCTTTCTAGCTAGCAGCGATGACGGCAAAAGGTAGGGGTTCTTACTTGGTCGTGAACGTGAATAAGATTAGTTCAGGTAAGAGACAAGTCTGTAGAAAACACTATATAACTTTTAAAAGATTAATTATCTGTTTCCGTTAACTTATACCGCCGTATATCTCTTAAAAAGAAAATTTTAGTAATTATGATAAAATATATACGGTAGTTATATATTTTACTATAAATATATACGGTTTATAAATGCATGGGGAATTTATTTTAAATAAACATAATACTTGGCCCAAAAGGTGTAGAAGAATCATATTTCAACTTGTAAATAAATAATATTATGTTTCCGTCTATTTTATTTTATTATTTAGTTTATTAACTTTATTTTAAGACAACTTAAAGACACAGACACACTCTTTATTTAATCCATTGCTGGAAATTACATAGCCCGTACTGGGTATCTCGAAAATTGTCCATTATACTGTTTAATTCCTCTAGGAATAGAAGACTGAGGGTGACGGTTCGTGTTGGCGACCGGTACCCTCAGTCTACCACTTCATTCTATAATGGTCGGAAAGGAAACAATCAACCCTTCAGCTTTACGGAGCTCAACATAAAAAAAACTGATAATCATTAGGATAGAAATGAAAATAGTTTGGAATTAAACGTTTTCTTGTATCGTTATAATAGGGACAAATAAGAACATAATGATGCTTTCTATTTGATTTAACGAACATAATTTAAATTCTTCTTTCTTGTTTTGCTCCACCGCCCTATTCAATTTTGAAATCTAATACACCAAAACGCCACTTAGTGAAGAGTTTGTTTTTTTAAATCATCAACATAAAGAACATAATATACATAAAGTACCTGATATACAACTTTTGAATTAAACATAGCCTAATATTTCATTTTCTAAAATAAAATTCTGATTTCGGATTTATCGGATAAACGTAAAGTAACTTCAGAAATTAATGTTTTTTTGTCTGAAACCTGGTAATAATGTTGTGCAGTCAATCGATGTTGTATCGTAATGTCGTATCATAATTCATTATATCGATATATAACTATCATAATGAACTTAAATGATTTATGAACTAAATCTCATGTTAACCTACATTATTACGCATTTTAAATTGTTCATGTTACTTGTTTGATAATCGTACAGAATGTTTATCAGACACATCAGCCGGATCGTCATCACAAGCTGCAATAATTGTCCTGGCCATCCTCCTTGTGCTCTCATTATCTGTGATATCAACATTACTCTGGAAATTGAGGTAGAGATTCACATTTCGTTTTCAATCACACACACACAAAAACTTTTACTAACACACACATGAAAATATATATATATATATATATAATTTATCTATTGTTAATCACTTAACGATCATAGTCTACCGCTGCCTTTGTATTACCGCCTTTACTCTGCACATGCTCAGTTTTGCAATTAATTAATCTGTGTTAATGATCTATCTTTGTCATTAGGTAATTTTATCTGAGGAGTGTTGCACCATGTAATTGTAGCACAAAACTAAATAGTTATCAAACCTACTGTTGAACCTCTTATTTTTGTTATATATATATATATATATATATATATATATATATGTATGTATATATATATGTATATATATATATATATAGGCTGTAACTTTAGTGGATTTTCATCTACAGTAATTGCAGTTGCTGTATAGCATTGTGGTTTTGTTTGAATTACTTACATACCATACACAAAATAATGATGTACTGCCAAAAACATGTGTGTTTCAATAGATTGTTTATAATAAAATCAGCTAGACCTTTCCTACATGGTATTGAGCTTTAAAACTGTTTATATGTATTTGTATATATTATTATGTTTCTTTACAGGAAATTTAAGCGACAAAATAAAAGGGAATCTGTAAACCAGCAACAAGATGATGATGCGTATTATATAAATCAGTTTCCAAAAGTCAATCAAACGAGTCAACAAAATAAAACCGAGGACGCTTATATGGATCTTGGGCCAACTGAGCAGGATCGCAGGCAGGGTATCTACACTGATCTTGAAAAAACATATGAAGTGGTTGATACAAAGCAATAAATTTGATTACACGTATTCATATTTTATTCTCGTATCAGTTTATGTTTAGAATAATAAGACTGTTTCGTAATCTTTCTTGTTAAGATATTGTTTTATTTTTATTTTATTTTTTTTTTGTATCCTATGTCATATAAGGTAATTTAAACCTCCATAAAGCAAATTTCCTTTTTTTTATATATATATATTTGACAGTAATATTTGATGAAAATATAAGGATGAATTCCATAGAGGCTTATAGTATTTTAGTGATGATATTATATACTGTAATATTATGTATGCATATATCACATTTGGATGTAAAATGTTATTCTGTTTATGACTATTTTATGTCAGTTTAATTTTAAGTATGTAAATCAACGTTTATGGGTACTGTTGTTTTTTCATTATCTTGGATTTATGGGCTAATGAAAAGTGGTCACAATAAGCATTTTATTATATGAACCATGAAATGCTCGCCATTTGGGCTGAAACCTAACATGAAGCACTTTACAGCCCGTCACCGGCGCAAGTAGGAGAAGTTCTGAATAGATAGGGAACTAGATATTAGCGCTATACAAACATTTGATTGGATTGGATTGGGGTGGGGTATATAATTGTAGGACAGGCTATATAATCTGGTACGAAATGTAGCAAAATGAGGGTTTTGCTTTTTTTTTTTTTTTTTTTGCTATATTTAAAAAAATTTATGTTGTAAAATAGACATCACTGAATATAAAAGTATGTGCCACAATTTTTTTTCATGTGAAGAGGTAGCCAGCAATTTCAAAATGGCCGCCATTTTTAAAGATTATTGAATGTTTATGACATTAAAAAATGCTAATATATTAAATATTCTTTAAAATAAGTGACAATTAAAATTAAAATGATATTTCACTTCAAATTTGCAAAATTCAATTTCAAAATGGCTGCCAATAAATATTTTAGCTATTTTTAGCATTATATTATTAAATGCAATTAACGATTAAATTAGGCCCATAAAACCTAACATTTAAAATGAAAGAATTTGCAAAAAAAAAATTTAGTTATCAATTAAAAAATACACAGATGCAAGGTTGGTAAAATCCAGAATATAAGATTTATGGGCTAATGAAAAGTGGTCACAATAAGCATTTTATTATATGAACCATGAAATGCTCGCCCTTTGGGCTGAAACATAACATGAAGCACTTTACAGCCCGTCACCGGAGCAAGTAGGAGGAGTTCTGAATAGGGAACTAGATATTAGCGCTACACAAACATTTGATTGGATTGGGGTGGGGTGGGGTATATAATTGTAGGACAGGCTATATAATCTGGTACGAAATGTAGCAAAATGAGGGTTTTGCTCTTTTTTTTTTTTTTTTTTTGCTATATTTTAAAAAATTAGGATATGTTGTAAAATAGACATCACTGAATATAAAAGTATGTGCCACAATTTTTTTTCATGTGAAGAGGTAGCCAGCAATTTCAAAATGGCCGCCATTTTTAAAGATTATTGAATGTTTATGACATTAAAAAATGCTAATATATTAAATATTCTTTAAAATAAGTGACAATTAAAATTAAAATGATATTTCACTTCAAATTTGCAAAATTCAAGTTAAAAATGGCTGTCAATAAATATTTTAGCTATTTTTAGCATTATATTATTAATGCAATTAACGATTAAATTAGGCCCATAAAACCTAGCATTTAAAATGAAAGAATTTGCAAAAAAAAATTTAGTTATCAATTAAAAAATACACAGATGCAAGGTTCTTTAAAATAAGTGACAATTAAAATTAAAATGATATTTCACTTCAAATTTGCAAAATTCAAGTTCAAAATGGCTGCCAATAAATATTTTAGCTTTTTTTAGCATTATATTATTAATGCAATTAACGATTAAATTAGGCCCATAAAACCTAGCATTTAAAATGAAAGTAAATGTGCATAAATATGCAAATTAAACATGGAGGTATTATTGATCTTGGTTCATTTGCATAGCGCTGCTATGCGTGGCTTTGCCGAGTGATCTCCTTCTCAATAATACCTCCATAGTTTACCTAACCAAGCATTCTTTTTCAAAATGTTAAAAATATGTACCGGTATCTGTTTGCCTTATTGTAACATTTCCTCAAACAGTGATTGGAACTGCTCCCTTCACCTCACCCTATTTTGCAGTTGTTCCAGTTCTTTTAGACCTTCCGTTTTTAAAAAAAGTATTTGCTACTGGTGCATTATGAAGCATGATAATGTCGTTGGGTAGAGTTAGTGGGAGAATGGTGCTTAGCATTTATTTAACATTTGGTGCAGTATTATTGTCGCAGTAGAAATTGGTCAAGGCATTGGTTGGTGTGTATGGTTGATTCTATTCCTCTAACATAAATTTCAATTCAAAAAGATTTTGTTTGTCACTAACCATACAGGTTTCTAAGATTTTGTTAGAAATGTAATACCATTGCACATTTACTTTATCATAAAACGTTTTTGAGTCCATGTTGTTGGGTAGAGTTCGTGATAAAGTGGTCCTTAACCATCAGCTAAATTTGACAATAAGGCAAATTATTGAAGTGTTGACCAGTGCAACTTATATGGATCCTATAGAATATATTACTAAATATGTCTACATCTACAGTTGAGAATTTCAGTAAAAACGAGATTCCTGTCAGACATTTTGTCCGAAAGTTGTGAAACCATTTGCATTATTTCTTAGGTCCAATAAAAATTTTTATTAGTTTATCACCCTCGCGCGCATGTCTTTTATGTTACTGGAAAAAAAAATTGAAAATTGTTTTTTTCAAATTTTTTTAATTTCTTTTATTTCTTTTTTTCATTTATTTTATTAAATAGTTAGTAGATATTGTTTGCATTATCTAAATCGTGTTTTACTTTGAATATCAATGCACCAGCAAACAACCCAAGGGTGATATTTGGCTTTAGCAAAAAAAAAAAAAAAAAAAAAAAACCTCCCTCCCTCATCACTTTTCCTGCCCAGATAGGGTGATAAACTAATAATTTTTTTTATAGGGCCTTTAATGAATAATCAACTGTTTGGTATTGTCTGGCACATTTTTGTGAAAGGTTTGGTTCAAGTGATCAGTGAACGAAGAAATCAGTGTCACGGACAAAATAAATAGAATCAGCATTTCTATTATGAAGTCGATAGAAAAATATAATTTCTGATACGTGTGCTTCATCCAGATTAAATACCAAAAACTATTTTGTCAGTTTTTGTGGTTTTAGTAGTTTCACAGTGACAAAAGTACATTTACATTCTAACTCAAAATAGGCTCCCAGTGGGAGCGTGACGTGTCTATGCAAGGAGGTATAAAATTATATGCCATACCTCCTTGGTTTATGCCATAATTCCTTACTGCACTATGCTTACTAATAAAGTATTCACATGGGGATTCGGTTATAAAGAAATGTGTAGTGTTGTTTGTTTTTTGTATGGCTTTGTTACAGTAAAGTTACACAGTAATATGGTGCTTAAAATGACACATGACCCATCATGCACCTCCACGGATGTGCAGGGTTATTTCCACTGGAATCACACTTTTAACCATATTTAACTGCCAGATGATAACATAGCGAAAACTATGAATGTAATATTCTAAAGGACTCGTTAATTAAGTAGAAGGTAACATAAAGTCTATTTGAAGGTCTTGTATATCGCCAAAGTTAGGGAACATGGTTTTAAGTATAATTATTTAATTAATTGATTTATTCCAATTCAAAGGGCAAGGTTTTATGGGATTAATTAAATCATTAATTTTATATATTAAATATATGTTATGCTGAAAATAGCTAAAATATTTAAAATGACGGCCATTTTTAATTTCAATTTTCAAACTTTGAAATGAAATATTTTTATTTGTATTGTCAATTATATGAAAGAATATTTTGTACATAGCATCTTCTAATGTCATAAACGTACAATTATTTGTAATAAAATGTTTACAATTTTAAAATTGCTGGCTAACCCCCTTGCACATTAAAAGAAAATTGTGGCACATACTTTCTTCAAAAACTTTTTCTTTTACAAAATATCAATTTTTTTTAAATATAGCAACAAAAAAAAAGAAACCAACCAAAATTTCCTGGACTATTAGCTAGATATTAATTTGGCTAGCACTCCTGTGTGAACTGTTCCAGTAAGCCCATAACTTTTGGGCTTCGAAGTGCTAGAGAACGGAGCAGTGAATATGATTCTTATACTATCTTATGACGTTTTCTGTAGTATAAGTTTTCATTTGAATTAGAAAATTTCATTGTTATGTTTCTTTTTGTTTATGTAAAGTGCATAGAGGCAACGTTCTTGAGTTTTCGCTATATAAGACTTGCACTAATAATTATTTATATCAACGTATATTAAATTTTCAATAAAGTTGTCCGTAATGTTATAATAGATTGATTATCTTATAATGCTAGTTCCACAGGTACAGATTGTAGAATTTAAACAGTCTGTAAATGTGATTTATTTTTATTGGTGTCTTATTGGAAGTGATTACTTATTTGATTCTCCAATGATTACTTAAACGTTTAAATAATTAGTAAATATTTTTTCTTTTGGGCAGATTCTACCCTAGATTTTAAACATAAAAATAAGCTTGGCACTGACGTAGTAAGAATGAAGAACCGTAGACAAGGTATTGCCATTGTGGTAGTTGTGTGTTTGAATGTGGAACAGCTGGGGTACGTGGGACGCCTATAAACCTCTGTGACGGGGTGAAGAAAGAAACGGGTGGGCCATTGTCGATGCGTGCACATCCATCACATCCACCCCTTGGATTCGTGCCTGAAAACATTGTCGATGCGTGCACATCCATCACATCCACCCCTTGGATTCGTGCCTAAAAACGTTGCTATTTATCAATATTGTTATATTTGAAGATTATCCTTTATCAAATGTTGCTATGTCTTATATTTGGGTGGGGAACGTCTCGGGTGATTGGGAGACTCATTGCGATCCACCCGCAGACAGTTAGCTGTTTTCTGTCTCTGTGACTCCCAGATTGTTTTCACCTTTTGGTGTTAGTTTCTGGTGGTATATTTTCAGATTCCGGGCAGCGCTGTCCCCTTTTTCTTTTCAGCTGGTGGGTCATGGTGATGTCTTCTTGATCCTGAGATCAACACCCAGTATGATTCTCTCACGGAATGTATTTTTTTTATTATATATTTATTCTGTACTACTGTTTTTGCCTATCGAATCAATCAACACTAATTTCATTTTTACCATGTTGTTAAAGTGACAATAAAGGAGTATCGTGCCCTATCGTATTACTGTGGTGAATGATTGTACGTACACCATTAAGGGATTTGACGTTCACGAACTATTGTGTTAGTTTGTAGCTGTCCAATACAAATTCCCAAGATTCACTCTAAAAAATCCCAAGATTGCTTTGTAAGTCCCAAGATTCGCAAAATATTTGTATATATATATATACATAGAACTTCTTTTAAAAGTCAACATTTTTTTCCAATGAATTGAAAACAACGATATAACGAAACAGTGTCTGAATTTTCGAGACCAACTCATTCGTTTTGATTCAACTGTGTATAATTTTCTGAAGTTGGGGAGGTGGGGTGGTGGTGGTAGGGAAAGTCTTATCTGAATTA